CACACTCCTGTCCTGTGTCACAAACAGTGCAGTAAATTTAATACAGACCTTCCTCCCTTTACGTGCCAATAAAACTCCACAGTCTACCTGTGCAGGAAAATATAGGTACACTTCTTTAGATATTGTTTCCTCGCTGAGCTTAAGTTTGTTTTACAAAAAGAGGGAATTAAAAAAATGTCTTACCTTTGGAAAATCATTACATCATAGACTGCTTAGCACTTTTTAACTATACTATTAAGGTACAGATTAAAGTTGAAGTTGGCCCATGCATGTTCAGATGCACATTCAGTTTTTTTTCCTGGGATACCCAGCTGGGAGGGTTAACTCATTAATGATCAGGTGATTTTATACTTAAAAATGTTGTATTCCACCCTTTCCAGGTTGGTTTTACTTGCTGCTGCCAAATTCTACCCACTGACACTAAAAGACCAGCTTAAAAAAGAGAAATAGCCAGGCATAGTTGAAGATGGCCAATCAGATTTCAAGGGGGGCCATGCCACCCTTGGCGAGCCCATTGTATATGTATATCAGGAAAAACAAAAAAACAAAAAAACAAAACATATAACAGATTGATTACTCCATTGTTACTGTGGCTCTATGTAAATAGAGTATGGTCTACGACTGGGCGATATATCGGTATAAAAAATATATCGATTTATTTCTAAATGAGATATGGAATTGGACCATGTAGCATATATCGATATACAGATATCAGATGCTGTAGTTGACAGGCTGGTATTTCTTGCACAAAATCCTTAATCTATTTAAACTGGGACAGCATGTACGCATTTAGACCTTCCAAGCTGGGAGCGCGGCTGCTCATTTCCACTCGGAAAGCCGGGTGCATGTAGGTATTTCAACCCTTCAAGCAGGTAGAAGCATGTACGCATTTCAACCTTCTGAGCCGGCGGCGCCACTGCGCATTTCTACCCTTTAAGTCGGGAGCGTGGATACGTCAGTTTGTAACATTCTGTAGTTTTTAAATCATTTCTGGAGATGTGGTGAATCAAATCATCATACCCGTCTGCCTCTGATAGACTAATAAAGCTTAATAAAGCGACCATGCTCAGATCTTGCTTCGTGAGGAAAGTAAACAATGACCAGGACAGAGAGCAGCTTCGGAGGAGAAGCATCCAACAGTGTGAATAACCTCTTCATATGGAGTGCTTGTTTCACACTATCAGTGTTTTCTGTGAGTGTTGCATGATTTTGGTTGAACACAGACATGAACACACTGTCAGCCACGTATTTATTTATTTATTTTTAGTTTTAAAAGCTGCTTGTGTACTGGCACCATACTAGGGCAGCTGCACACCCTTTCAATGCCTTATTTTTTATGTTTATGTTTGTTTTGAATGGACACTTTATCATAACTGCCACTTGTTTTACAGAAAGCAAATTGTTTGTTATTCTCCAGTGCAGAGCATTTACTTTTATTTATACAGCTGCTTTACTTCATTTGAGTTTGTTTGTGCAATAATGTGATGAAGGTTCGAAAAAATTATTTAAAAAAAATATTTTGAAAGCCACATGTATAAGCTCTCAAATACTTTTTGAATTTTGTTTTTATCTGATACAGAGGCCGAGATATCAGCTTTTTTGTAAACCTTGACACTTAAGAAAACCTCAGGATCTGGGGGCCCTTCTCAAAATTGCCCTCAGGATTTCAGAGGCGTGTCTCAGACAGGGTTCAGGTCTTAATGGGTTAAATAAAGAAGGACCATAGACTGTATATACTATGGACAACCTGGTTCCGCCTACCGCCTGTATACGGATTTGAAGCAGCAGCGTTGTGCACATTCGGCCGCGCAGTCGCAGAGAGTCACTGTGATGACGCTCGGCTCAAACAGCGTATCCTCCGGGAGAGCTACTCAATCCCTGAACGCCCATAGGCTGTACCAGGTGTCAATCATAGCAAACAGGAACCCCCTAATAACTTTTAAAAACGGAGCTTCACAGAAAAAAGAGGACTTGGGCACAAACCAGTCTTACAGTAACTACGTGTCAACATCACAACCAGGGGGGAGAAAATTTATGTTCTGTGTAATACATTTCTAAAGTTTGTCCACAGTCCCATAAGCTTTGCTGGCGGAGGCGGAATTTATGACCTGTACTGCAGCCCACCGTCAGAGGGTGCTGTTCTCGGAGTGGCTTCACCCAGCGAGGAGGCAGAAGGCGTCCATTCTATATACAGTCTATGAGAATGACACACTTGTCCATCCTCTCATGTCTACCTCAAGACAGCATTAAAGGGGAAAATCCAAAATGGCCGCCAGAAATGAACCATAATCCCTAAGATGTGTGGCTGCAAAGCTGAGCCCCTCTGTTCTCGGAAGTGTCGGTGCCGGGATGCTGGATTACCTTGTACAGCATTATGCCAATGTGCTGGTAAATGTGAATGGGACATGTGAGTCACTTGGCAAAAAGATAAACAATAAAAGACGAAAAGAGGGGAAAAAGACAAAACAACAGACAGACAGACAGACAGACAGACAGTAGCATGCCCACTCAGGATGGATGGAGATGGGTGGAGAGATGGAGAGATATGATGACAGACAGACAGACAGACAGACAGACATGAAGATAGATGGATGGATGGATGGATGGATGGATGATGAATGGATGGATCCAGCCTCAATGGGACACAATTCAGATAGATAGATAGATAGATAGATTAGATTAGTCGGTAGATGGATGGATGGATGGATGGATGGATGGATGAATGAATGCAGCCTCAATGGGACACAAGCCAGTGTTCTACTTGTGCAGGTCCCAAGCCCGGGGAAATGCAGAGGGTTGTAATTCAAATAGTTTTGTATGCATTTATAGGGTTTTGAAAAATAATGCCTGCACCGTGAGCGTCATCTCCCTTTCTTTCTGCCCCTTCATTTGCATCATCTATCAGTTTTATCAATAACTTACTTCCTGTTTCAGATTATTTTGGGCACCCTTTCTAGGATGTTTAGGATAACCCAAGGTACACATGTGAGAAACGTTATAGTTTTATGAGATTCTTTAGATGACTTTTGAGTCAATCAACAACACTTTAGGCCATTTTCAATTTAGTCAATGACTCACTTCCTGTTTCAGATTATTTTGGGCACCCCTTCTAGGATGTATTAGGATGAGCCTAGGGACATATGTGCCAAATAGTATGCTTCTCTGAGATTCAATAGGCTATTAGAATCAATCGGCAACAATTTAGGCCGCCATTTTGAATTTTGTCAATAATCCACTTCCTGTTTTTGGCCACTATATCTAGGATGTCTCAGGATGACCCAAGGGTCATGTGTGCCAAACTTTATGATTTTTGGACATTCTTTAGTTGGTTTTTGAGTAAACTGTCACCTGTTTAGGCGGCCATTTCGAATTTTGTCAATAACTCACTTCTTGTTTGACATTTTTTTGGGCACCCCTTCTAGGACGTTTTGGGATGACCTAAGGGACATATGTGCCAAATTTCATGCTTTTATCCACCGTGTAACGATTTTTCACCTAACAGACCCTACTACTATGAGTGTCGGGATTTCTTTATGTTCTCATTCATTTTTTATTAATTTCTTTAGAGAGCTCCCTTACATACAGTAAATCTGATACCCCAGGGGAAAACTGACGGCTTGGTGCTTCATCTACGTCAGATATGTAAGTCTTGAAGGCCGCACATGCAACAGCTGAACACTAACAGTATAAGTGAATAGAGAGCCGGACGAGATGTTCCATACAGTGGGCGTAGATATTGATTACATATTGTACCAGATAAATACAAGCATTTGTAGTCTCATTGCATTATAAAGTCTCTCAAAATAAAAACAGACAGAAGACTGTAAAATCTGCATCGTCCATAGATGGACATGTGATCATGATTTCAACAGCCTCTGTTGTCCTGCTCACTCTGTCCCTCTGCTTTTCAGACACAATTCTGCCTCCTCTCCCTGCCTGCTCTCCACTCTTCACCTGTGGCTGCCTGATGGTTTAAATCACTGTGGCACAGAATGTCGAAGAAACAGCACTTCATTGTGAACTTTTTTTTCTTTCAGGACTGAATTTTTGGTCGCTAATTTGGTTTGGTCTTACCTATAAAGAGGTTATTCACACAGAAATAAGTTTGAGGAGACTGACGCTCTGGTATAAAATGGGAAACACTAATCTACAGGGGAAAAACAAACATCTGAAAGGTTTCAACGCATGCAAATATAATGAAACTTTGACATAAACTTCCTGTTTGTTTTCACAATAAAAGCACCACCTGTGTTTGGTTATCTTTGTGTGATATTCCTACGGCAGAGAAGAGTCTGTCAGACTGACAACAGCAGCAGAAAACTTCAGATAAGAGAGAAACTCTGCTCAGTCTCCTAACACCTGAATAATCACTCTGTGTGTGTGTGTGCATATGTGTATGTGTGTGTGTGTGTGTGTGTGTGTGTGTGTGTGTGTGTGTGTGTGCGTGTGTGTGTGTGCATACAAAATAAATAATGACTAAAAAAATAAAAAATAAAACTCCCACAAAAAACAAAAAAACCTACAAAAAAAGAGAAAAAGTCATAATGAAAAGGAGAAAATCAATTAAACCAATTAAAATATTTAATTATACAAATGCACACATTGTCTTGAAAATGTGCGTTTATTAATTTTTTGTCCAAATTTAAAAATAAACAACTATGGCAACACGTCTTTGGAATTTTTTTTTTTTTCAAATTTGAAAATAAACAATTATGTTGTAATGCCGTCTGAGAATGTTTTTTTTTCCAAACATGGAAATTTACCCTGATGACATCACATTTTGTGATTTTGTGATGTCATTGATGATGTCATCGATCCTTTCATCTTTTTTCACAGACTCAATGATCGTTTCATCTTAAAGCTTGTTGATGCTTTGCCTCACAGAATCCGTCTTTAAGACAGTCAAGCCATCAGTGCCAGACAGCGACAAACACAGAGAACCTCAGTTTAAGTGAACATCTTTGAACAGGTACACGAACACCTACAGTTCCAGTCAGAAGATGAACATGAACATGAACATCCACAGTTCCAGTGAGATGAACATGAACATGAGCAAGACCATCTACAATTCCGGTGAGAAGATGAACACTAGAAAAAGAAGAAACAAGAGGAAGAACAAGGCCACCCCCATCCCTCATGTTGATCAGGGGACCAACAAATATGCCAACGCGGTGCCTGCAGATCTGTATGATCTGGATGATGATGATGATTTTGGCAACTTTAACATCAATGAACAAAATCTGATGTGCCAAGCCGTCAAAGTCGCAGAAGTCGCAGAAGCCCGCCGGCAAGAGGCTCAGGAGAGATATAGACAACTCCAATTGGAGCCTACAATGGACGCCTCAGATTGGGAGTCGGATGGGGAGGATCGTGAGTCAGTCCATGACAAATACTCTCCTCCAAGTCAGCAGGGACAAAAAGAAGACATGGTCCCAATTTCTAGCAGGCCTGTCATTAAGATCCTTGAGTCTGAATTTCAGAGACTTGCAGGAGAGGAGAAGGAAGCAGTCCGACTCAAGGGTGAAATGGCTGCCTTATCTCAGGAAGTGAACCTGTTAAAAGAGCAGCTCAGACAACAGGAAGAGAAAGCCACCTCTGAAAAGACACGCCTGCTCACTGAAGTGTCAGGTAAGCTAGAGAAAGCAGGAGAGGCAGTCCTTGAAATCGAAAAACTTAAGGAGGACTGTGAAACTGAAAAGAGGAAGCGGAGCGAGACAGAGGAGTGCCTGGCCCAGCAAACAGAGCTGACCTCCAGACTGCAGGCTTATATGGACAAGGCCGTCACTGAGGTGCAGTACCAATGGTGGCAAGACAGAGCCCAGCTCCTGGGGGACGTCATGCATCTCCGTGCTGCACTTCACCATGCACAAGTGACACAGGAGAACCAGAGGCTTCTGTGGGCTGAGCAGCAGGCCAAGGTGACAGAAGACAACTGTCACACTACAGAGCCAAACCAGGTCCAAGAAGAAACTGCCACCGAGAACCCTGAGAGGGAGGAGGACAAGACTTCTCTCCTGGATCAGATGAAAGAAGAGCTGTCCACCGTCAAGGCTGAGCTGAAACAGACTCAGGAAGATCTGCAGACCAAGACCTGCCAGTGGGAGGATGAGAGATCCTGTCTTCTGACTGACAAAGAGGAAATCTGCAGATTGAAGGCTGCTCTCGAGAAGGCTGAGGAAGATCTGAAGAAGCAGAACCAGCAGGTGGATGTACTCTCAGGAAAAGATGGGTCCAGGAAGATGAGAGCTTCTCTCAACCAGGCCCAGAAAGACCTGAAGAAGAAAAACAAACAGTTGGGGGAAGAGAGAGCATGTGTCCTCTTCCTCAAGGGGGAAAATGGCAAGTTAAAGGACGCCCTAGCCAAGGCTCAAGAGGACCAGCAGCAGTGGGAGGAGGAGAGAACACAGCTCCTCTCAGAGAAAGAAGACGCCTCCAAACTAAAGGAAGTCCTGAGTCAGACCAAAAAAGACCTAAAAAATGAAAGAAAACAATGGGAGGAGGAAAGGACTCATCTACTCTTACAGACAGAGGAGTCCTCCAAGTTAAAAGCTGACCTCAGCAAAACTCAAGAGCAGCTGAAAAAAAATAGACAGCAGTGGAATCATGAAAGAGCTCGCATTCAGCAGAAACTGGACTCCTGCAAGCTGAAAGAGGACCTCCACCAGTTACGAGAACAGCTAAAGGACCAAAAGAACAAGGCGAATAAAGTGAGAGCTGACCTTATTCTGGAGCAAGAATCCTTAAAGGGCAAGCTCATCCAGGCTCAGGAGAAGCTGAAGGCTCAGGACAAGGACTTCTCAGGTCTTTTGAGAGAAAAAGAGGAGGAAAGAAGCCGGATAAGAGCTTCCCTAGATGAGGTCCTGGAAAGTGATGAGAACCAGAAGCGCAAGCATCACGAGGAAGTCAGTCAGCTGAAGTCTGCTCTTCATCAGGCTCAGGAGGACCTGTCCAGGAAGACAAGTCAGTGGGAAGAGGACAGGTCACAGCTCCTTGCAGAAAAGGCGAAATCTTTTACTTTGGAGACCTCGCTAAACCAGGCCAATGACGATCTGGAGAGACACAAGCTCCAGTGGCAGAGAGAGAAAGCCTCGCTGATGGAGTCCATCCCCGTCATTCAGCAGGATTGTGAAGTGAACGAGACTGAGATTCAGACTCAGACATCCCCACCAAATGATACTGAAATGGATGAACTGAGGAGACTGGACGAGCAGTTGGAGGCGGTCAGGAGGCCATCAAAGAGGTCTTTGAAGAAAAGGTTCACGGGGCTCTTTAAAAGAGACACACAGACCTCTTGAAGACGCATGACATGCATTCATTGGAAAATAAAAAATAAAAAAAAAATAAAAATAAAAAAACACACAAAAAACTCCCACAAAAAAACACAAAAAAACCAAAACACACAAAAAAAAAAAAAAAAAAAAAAAAAAAAACAAAAAAAAAAAAAAAAAAACACAGATTGTGAATATGTACGTTTGAAGAGGGTTGAGGCCTGAGGTCCCGCCTCAGTGTCCAGTTTACTCTCTGGGTTATAGCCTCACTGAGGCTAGTGAAGAGGTTTTCTCCGAGTGCTTCGGTTTCCCTAAATTTTATACAATTGTGTATAAAAAAAAAAAAAAACCCAGTAACTCCGCCAAAATGTCTCAATTGAGTCATTTTTGCCGGTCCCAAGCCCGGATAAAGGAGGAGGGTTGGTATTGTGACACAAAAAAAAAAACAAGACTCGACAGAAGAAAGTTCATTTGTAGTTCTAAACATATTTGGGGTATTTTTTACTCACTTTTTGTCTCTCTCACTACATTGTTTCTCTCACTTACATCATCCATTATAATTCTCTCAATTCATATTTAGTTTTCACTTCTTCAGGAGGTGTAACAACGGTTTAGTTTATCATGTCTGAAGATTGTGCTTTGTTTCTAAATTTTTCATGTGTCCTCAGTTTGTCTACTTTATTATGCAAGTCTGCATAAACCCAACAAATCCTAACAATACCCCTCGTATGTATGCTGTGAATGCATCCCATATTCAATCTATTTTAGGTCTTTCCTGATGTGCCCCCTCTTTTACGTTGGTTTGGATGATTAAATAGTTATGTTTTTCAACATATTTCAGTATTTACTATTCATTTGCCATGTTGTTTGCAACAATAATAAATTCTAAGTGTTAAAATAAGCATGATGAACACATTTATTATTGCTAATAAGACACCTGTGGGGTTTTATAAGAATCAGGTGGACAGTTTATAAGTATCTTACAGGGTTAAATAAGAGGTGTCATAACAATCTTTTTTCCACTGGTTATTATAAGGACCTTAATGGAAAGAAGATATAATAATAACAGAGTGAAGGTTGTTTTACTGAAGTTTAAGCTTTCAGTCGGGTGATTGTGTTATTAGCACTAAACCCAAAGCCATGGCACTATTGTTATGTTGTGGATTTTTTCTTCTTCTTCGTCTGGACAAATTTTGGTTCACTGCTAGTCCTACAGCTTGAAGGGTTGAAGCTGCAAAAAAAGCAAATATATATCTTTTTTAAATGTAATAAGAATATACATTGAAAAAAAATTAGAATAATAATTTAATGTTTATATAAATATATTTATATATAAATAAAAAAAAAAATATATATATATATATATGTAAAAAAATTTCCCTTCCTCGGGCCACCACCTTACCGTGGTGGAGGGGTTTGCGTGTCCCAGTTATCCCAGGAGCTAAGTTGTCGGGTGCTTTATGCCTCTAGTAGGGTCACCCAAGGCAAACAGGTCCTGGGAGAGGGATCAGACTAAGGGTGGCTCAAATAGACCTTTGATGATGGGTAGTAGATTTACTATATATTGAGTTTTACTCAGTATATAGTAACTCATCATACTCATCATCATTACTCATCATATCATATGTCATATCGTATCGCAAAGTATCATATCGTATCATATTGTTCTGTATTATATCATATCATATCATAATCTCCTCGTTAGTATAGTGGTGAGTATCCCCGCCTGGTAGCGGGAGACCGGGGTTCGATTCCCTGACGGGGAGTGGAAATCCTGATGAGAATTTCCCAGTTTGGGATCAATAAAGTATATCTATCTGTCGCATCGTATCATATCATATCATTTTGCACCATATTGTATCATATCACATCATGTCATATTGTATTGTACTGTATTGTATCGCATGGTATCGTAACGTTTTGGACTGTATCGCATTACATCATATTGTATTGTATCGTATAGTATCATATAGTATAGTATTGTATCGTATAGTATCATATCATATAGTATCGTTTCGTATTGTATCGTATTGTATCGTGATGTGTCTTGTTGTCAAGTATCCCAATAAATAAGAGCAAAAAAGGTTAGTAGTAGGGTCTGTTAACTTGAAAAAATGGCCAAATCGTTACGCGATGGATAAAAGCACCAAATTTGGTACACACATTCTTTATCGTATCTTATCATCTCAGAAGGGGTGCCCAAAAATTCGGACCCATTAAATGCCTTTTAACTGTTTATCAAAGTAAAAAAGAAAGAGGGGGAAATGTTTACTGATTTCATAATCTGTCATTGTCTTGAGCAACTGTACAGTAAGTGCTGCCCTTACTAGGGTTTGTCATATTTAATTCTTTTGTAGTGTTCGTTGTTTGCATCTGTGGATTTGTTAGAGAGAAGAAGAAAATCTGTTATTTGATTTAAATAGGCCATTTATAGTTGTCAAAATGTTGATGCTTTTTTTATATAAATGAATTTATTTCAGAAAAAGATTTTACTTTATGGGCTATTTTTATTTAAGATATATTTTTCATTTAAATGTGTACCTTATAGAGCTCCAATTGAACGCTCCTGTGGTTATACAGTATTTATGGGTACATTTTATTGTTCTTTGAACAGCTGAGCATAATTTCATCCAGCCAGTTTAAATAGAAGTGACATGTCATATTTGGCTTGACTGTGACTAAACATTTGCTCTCACTTTGCGATAACAATATCGGGATATATATTATATATCGATATTCAGCCTAAATATATTGGGATATGACTTTTGGTCCATATCGCCCAGCCCTAGTATGGTCTAGACCAGCTTTTTTGTTAAGAGTCTTGAGACAACATTTTCTGTGAATTGGTGCTATATAAAAAAAATAAAGATTGACTCATCTATTGATCGATCGATAAAGAGCAGTTTTATGTGAAGGTTATATTTTGGAGAGTATAGCCCAAGACTCAGTGTTGCAGCTTGCAGCACACTCTAGACTCTGCGCTCCAGACTCTGCGCTCTGGTAAGCTGACAAACACGCCTCCAGTGATGAAGGGTAAAGGTCAGGTTTAGGCATGCGAGGCATGATGATAGGTATAGAAATCAATGAGTCCCAACAAGCAGAGCCAGACATGTTTCTGTGTGTATGTTTGTGTCTATCGGAGGAGTGCTGTTGATTGGACAGTCTGTGTCAACACTGAGCACCTGCATTGACTTCTGTCACATCAGCATTGGCTCTGGTCCTGTGGGAATGTGCCGAGATCCAGTTGGTCGATTGTTTAGCCATCCCAGCAGAGTACACATCTTCCTACATGAGCATTGAAGCAAACATCATATGGGTTAAATGTCTCTGTGACAATAAGAGGCCAAGTACACCCTGTGCTCTGTCAATCACCACTTCTCTCCAGATTGTCGAGCTTTGTTATATATGAAGGTTGATTTTTGAGCTTTTAAAGACCCATTTAACTGTACTGTGATAAGACACATCAATCATGATATCCACTTCTATGACAATGTTTATATAATTGTTGAAAAATGTCTGTATGATCCATCTACTGCTTTCAATTAGCTCTTATCCTTAAGAGGCCATGGCTAAGAAAACAAACTGTAAGAACAGTCCAGTCATGACCATGTACAAAATTAAAAAAAGGTTAATCCTCTCTTATCAATGACACTTTGAGAGACATTTTTTCAAGTCAAGGAAATAGTCTTCTTTAGACATTTCAGTCCTTGAGCCTTTTAATGAAAAAAACTTTTTAATTATGAGAAGCCATCACTTTGAAAGTTTTATTCAATTATGAACTCAGACAGTAATTTCGGGTGACTCTTGAACATATCAGCACAGGCAGAGAGCCTGAAGTATTAGTATAATAGAACCCAGTGACGTGCGGTGAGGTTCATAGCTGGTGAGGCACTGACGTCATCAGAATCAGATTTGCAAATAGATGCATAGATTGACAGCAGTTTACAGGTTATGTTTCACTTCTGCATCCTTACACATACAAACTGTAGCTCACAAAACACACATTTCCTTAAAAAACAAAACAAAATAAATGTTATTACTGTCTTACCTTTACGTATAAATGAAGTCCATGCGTCGCTCCTTCTGCACAAAAACATCCGTCACTTTGCGATAGAAGTCCTCCTTATCTTCCTTCAGTTTTAAAAGTCTCTCTGTCTCAATGGAGATCACTGCCAGGGAAGAAAGCCTTCCTTGATCCGTCCTGTTCCTGCTGTATGTTTTCAGTCTCTTCAGGGCTGAGAATGACCGCTCCACTGACGCTGTAGTAGCTGGCACCGTGAGCACGAGTTGGAGCAACTTTGTCGCCTCAGGAACAGTTACAACAAGATCCTTCTCGGCCAAAAAGTTGAGAAGCTGTCCAGGAGATTTGCATTCATCCCTCACCGTTTTTGAGCTATACAGTCCAATGAGATTGGCCTTCAGTCTGACAAAGTCAAAAAACTTGGCATACTTTGACAGGCTCTGCAGTTTCGTGTCATCAAAATGTTGTGACATTTCATAGAACTTTGCGCAATCCACCAAACCGAGGAAAGCAAGTTCATCAAAATGGCCAAACCTAGCCTTCATTTGATCGCTGATGTTGTCAAGAATGTTACAGAACAGGTGTCTCCGTTCATCTCTAGCCGAATGTCTGTCTGTACCATCTGTCAAACCAAGTGCGCCGCATTTCTGCTCGAATCGGAGGTAGTAACTGTCAAACTCCAGTCTCATGCGCTCCATGACTGAAACTGTGTCCCGGATGCGCGCACTCTGAAAAGTGCGTCGGTCTCATTGAAAATGCCATCAAATGTATCGATACGAAAGCATGTAGATGCTTTTGACAGCCACCGATCATATCCTGCTGCCATCATCAGCGTGTCATTATCCCAGCTATCGGGATTTTCCATAATGACATTGAACACAGCACGCAGATCGTTTTGGTGCATGCTTATTGTCTGCAGCAGCCGAGAATTTGAATTCCACCTTGTCGGCGCTGCTCTGGGTAAACGGCGCTTGACAACATCATACAACAAACGAGTGCGCTTTGTGGACTTGCTGAAAAACGCCCCGAGTCCCTCAGCTGTTTTAAAAAACGCACGACACTTGGGCATGCACTTTGCTGAATGCAATAGCACCAGGTTCAGCTTGTGTGCGTAACAGTGTGTAAACATGGCCTCAGGCACCTTTTCCTTAATTTTAGCCTGCACCCCATTAAGCTCTGATGCCATTACAGCTGCCCCATCATATGTCTGAGCTACAAGCTTATCAACACAGCCGTATTTCTCCAGCACACTCAGGACATACTCAGCTATGGCAGGTGCACGTCTGTCCGCACTCACATCATCGAACCCCAAAAACGCCTCCTTCACCTTACAGCCTGCTTCAGGTTGAGTCACATAGCGCAATATGACGGAGATCTGAGCTTTGCTTGTGACATCTGTGGTCTCGTCTACTTCTACAGCTACAAATGGGGCTGCACTTATGTCCTGCTTAATATCATTTCTAATGACATCGCCGACTGCTTCAATTAATTCATTCTGTATTCTATTGGACAAGCCGGAAAATACAGTGGATGTCTCCAAATGTCTAGCTAGTTTGTCATCTTTCTCAGCAAGGACATGCAAGAGTTCAACATAGTTGCCACGATTAGCAGAGCCCATGCTCTCATCATTTCCACGAAATGCTAGCTGCTGTCTAGCGAGAAAGCAGGTCGCATTGATGAGCTCTTTTAAAATCTCTCGGTTCTCCTTTACCTTAGCATTGTGGATGCTGATGTTGAGTCTCCGCTGTTCATCCAAAGCCAAATCTATCCTGGACAGGCCGAAGGTTTTTAGCGCAATTTGGCTTTGAATATGAGTGGTGGACCGCTCATGTTTGGTGAGGGATCTTTGCAAGTTCTTCAAGTCACCAAATCCCATCTGAGTCCACACAGTGCCACAAGTTGAAAAAAGAAGGCAAGGAAAGCAGAAAAGGCGGTTTCGAGCAGGACATCCACAAAGCCAGTCTTTTCGTGAATACCACTCGGTTTGAAAAGAGCGGTTAACCTTCTGTCCCGTAGTCTGAAACAAACCTTTCAGCTCCGGCGTTGGTCTTCCTTTGGTTATTATCTCCTGCTTCGATTGAAAGTCCACTTGAGAAAACTTTTTTAGTGTTGTAATGTAGTCATCCATGTCGAAAGTCGGGATAAGCGAGAGGAAAAAAATCACTATCTCTATTATAATCTATCGCTGCACTTGACTTGCTTCCCGAATCGTTTAGCCTAGCTCGCTGTCACTTACTCGGCAGTTGAGGAGTGAACAAGACGAACGTCTGGGATCTTGAGCACCCCCTGCCATGAGGCAAGAGAACTGCCTGCCTCACCTCGAACCTGTTCTCTGCCGTTTATAATCGCTCATTACACGAAACACGTTACACAAACACAGTTGGTGACAAAAAGCACTGTACATTATATACATAAGCTAAATTATTGGAAATAAGTTCACATATTAAATTTGTTTAAACCATTTTATTGACGCCGTACAGCAACATGCTCTCTCCGCTTAGCAGCCAGCGCAGAGCCAGGGGTTGCGCAATCCAAGGTGAGGCAGAGCTCGCTGCTGCCTCACCGGCATCGCTTCCAAGCATTTGAATGGGAAAATAAGAAAATTCAGCGATTTTGAACAAATAAAAATCGAAATTGGTGAAGCTACATGAAAAATAAATATTTTTTAGTACAAACCACCGGATGAATATAACAATTTAAATTACTTTATGATTATATATTTTCTTTCTTTCCATGATGGCTGGTGAGGCACTGCCTCACCTGCCTCCCCTGACCGCACGTCACTGATAGAACCTATTTTGTTATAAGCAGACACCAAAAGTGAGAGTTGCCTGTATGAACTTCAGCACCACAGACAGTTCCTTGGTACTGTGCTTCAGGTCTTTTTACAGGTTGTTCAGGCCCAGAAAACCATTTCTATGTAACATTTATAAAAGCATATATGCCACATCTAATTTCTCCTACATTCAAGAAATGATGATTACTTTTCAAACGAATTGTACGTTTCCGTTTGGTCAACTGTTTTCATAAAGTCATTTTCTGTCATCAACAAGGCCCAACATTTTATGGTCTAGCTTGTCAAATGGGGAAATCTGCTGCTTTAAATACAGAGCCATAATGAGTTTATCAGAAAGTGTTAGGAGTCCTCTCTGACCTGTGATCATAAAGGGATGTAACAGTTTGACAGACAGAGACTCCAGGTAACAATCAGCATTGTTATATTGACGTTAAGAAACCTCTGCTGATCACGCTGCTGCCTCACATAACTTATGAAGGTTGTTTATTAACAAACCTCTCTGCCCCAGAGGAACTTGTTGACAGTAAGCTCCGCTTATAACACCCATTAAAGTTTTTCTTGCCATTTTGATGCTCAAGGTCATTTTACAGTAGAGTTTGCTTTGCCGTTTAAAGAAACTGGCTTTTGCCATAAACACAGTCTTTAAATGACCATTTTTTTGTGCTGAAGGAAAATTAATGTTTTCAGGAAATCAAGAACAAAAAGAGCTTAGTTTTTTTTTTTTCAATCAGCGCCGCAGCAGACTGTAGTGGTTGAGAGTATGTAGGTTGTGCTGGTCATAAATAAAGTCATTCACTGGGCACAGTTGAGCATATTATACAAAAATAGTAAACCATCCACATCTATTGCTAACCAAATAAGGTCGGATTCAGCGGATCTGTTGTGTGGAGTCCCTCAAGGTTCTGTTTTGGGTCCTGTGTTATTTTTGCTGTATCTGATCCTCTTGGGAAAGATCATGCAAAGGTTTAGTGATGTTTCATTCCACCTGTTTACTGATGATATCCAGCTTTACTGCTCCTGAGATCCAGAAGCTTAACTCCTTAGTCCAGTGCTTAGTGGAAATTAAACAATGGCTAAGTGAAAACTCTTTGCAGCTCAATGCAGACAAAACTGAAACATTGGTTATTGACTCAATTCCTAGGATTAGCCAGTACTTTGGTGATTTAGGCCAACCTAGTTTAAGAAATCTGGGTGTCATCTTTGACAAAGGCATGTCCTTAGTGCAACACTGTAAACAGTTGATCAGAAACTGCTTCTTTCAACTGAGGAAAATCTCTACGCTTAAGAGCATGGTGTCACAAAATGACTTGGAGCTCAACATTCATGCCTTTGTGTCTTCAGGTTTAGACGATTATAATAGTTTGTTTCCCTGTCTGAACAAAAAGGAGCTGTCTTGTCCACAATTAGTTCAAAACCCTGCAGCGAGAATTCTGACCCCGAAGCTCTACATTGGCAGCCTGTGTCCTTTAGGATCAATTTTAAAATTCTGGTCCTAACATTTAGAGCCATGCATGGTCAGGCTACATCTTACATCTGTGATCTGATTCACCCTTACAACCCCGCTCGGGCTCTGAGGTATGTGGATCAGAATCTACTGGTGGTTCTGTGCACTCATTTTCAGACCAGAGGAGACCGATCTTTCCAGGCTGTTGCTCCCAGGCTTTGAAACAACCTTCCTCTCTCTCTGCGCTGAATAGACTCTGTTGACTTCTTTAAAAGCCAACTCAAGGCATATTTATTTGCTCAGGCTTTTGTTTAGTTTTTTGAGGCTGCTATGATTGTTAATGTTGTCTTGGCCTTTTAAATTTGTATGTACATTTTTACTTTTTGTTTAAGTGAAATACTTTGTGTTACTTATTGGGTTGTTGTTCATATATTGCTGCTGGACAACATCCATATCACTTATTACTTAAGAGGGTTTGGGGTTGTCTCATTAATGTTAGTTCATTTTGTAGCCAAAAATCAAATTCTGCATTGAGCAGTATGTAAATTTGTGCAGAAATCCTATTACTGGCTACACCTGCTTATAGTGTCAGGCTGTATGAGTCACAAGCAAAATCTGGCTTATTAACAGAGGTGTCTGTGTGTTATTGCCCATGGTTTGCAAGGATTAAACCAATGAATCCAGGTCTTTACAATAAACACTGCATAAAAGAAAATGGTTGTAAACCATGAGCCAGCCTCACACTTTTTTAAAGTGGTGCACCTACTCTCAGTAGGTTCGAGGAGCAGAGAAGCCTCCTCTTAGTAGCAGTAAAGAGACGCATAACATGAACCATTGGGGTCTCACTATTTCTTTGTATTTAATGCGGATGCTGTTGGCTGGGGAACAAAGGGGAGACAATGTGAAAGCTCAAGAGTTGTGAGCAGCGCGAGATGTCCAGGGTGCTGACCCCCGACAAGAACTCCAGCTATAGGCCTAATGAGGCCTGGTTCACTGGTGTCTTATCCTTATTACTTTTAGTTATAATGAGGGTCAGCCTGTTAGGCCATTCAGCTCTGATCACCCTTATTAGGAACCAAGAGAGGAAGAGAAAGGAGAGAAAGGAAAATAAAGTTATTTCACCAAGAGGGGATTTTTTTTTTTTTTGAGATTCTGGTCTGGTTTTTGTCTGGGTATAGGATACCCTGGATGCATTTTGTGGATTCTGTTTGATTTTGTTTTGCATCAGCAATTAACAAGGGGAAGCAAGTGATACATGAGAAGCCTCTGATAATTACACTTGGCTTCACACATAGGCTCACACATACAAAACCACTCCGCACTAACGTCTGTTGTCTATTTCCAGCGCAGACTTTCTTACCCTGCAGCACAAGATTAGAGCAGATAAAAGAAGAAAGAGTAAAAAATCAATGTGGAGAGCTCTGCTATTAAAAGGTCCCTTGTGGCTGCAACATGAA